TCGCTGGCAGCTTACTGTTCTGAATGGCGACTTTTCGGCGAAAAAATAATGGGTTTGCATAGAAGTTAGCAAAATGTAATTACACTCACATACATACACATTTCCTCCTCAGTAGCACGGTAATAATGGTTACCTGAATCCCTCGCTTCGATACATTTTGATAAATAGCGACCGCATGTTCTGGTACTCGGTGCTTGTGGAGGAAGCAAGCCGAGCTCTTGCTGTTTCCAGTGGATAAGTAATTATGGTGGGTGTAACACCCGCTAATGATCCTGCCAAAAATCGTCGAACCGGCGTATATTTCCTACAAAATTGCTCTATTCGTTTTCTTTTTTGATAAAAATTTTTAAATTTTGTGGACAAAATTTTTTCACTTTGTGACCTTACGATACGCCTCATCTAGCGATTGCAATTAGAAAGGAACAGCCGAGTAGGAGGGATACTGGAGATAGGAGAAACAGGATGAGACCTAGCAAGGAAATGATGCAGAGGATGAGGAAACACAAGAACCAGAGTAATAAAGAGCATCTTGGCGGCTTGGAGAAATGGACCTACGTTTGGCGGAAAAAGACGGGATTTCCCGAAAACAGTTTAAATGAAAAGTTTCGAGCGGCAGCCGAGATTTTAATACTCCTTTCTTATGTTTTTCATTTCAAGTCAAAATCTTATATGCTTCCCAAATATTTGCTTAAAAAATGAAAATCTGCACGATAACAAAAAGTTCCTTCACCGAGGTAAAGGAACTCTTTGTTATCTAGCAAATTTTCAATGCAAAAACAAAAAAAAAAACACAATAACTGGTGAAATTTTTGCAGAAATAGCTGTTGAAATAGCTTTTACAGTTATTTTACCCATCACGATCAACACGGAGAAGCTGTTTGAAGCATTCATGCGATGCGAACTGTATTGCAGCATAGGGCGTCACTCTTATGACTGTAGCTAAATTTCCGCGCCACAACGACAGAATTCCGTATTTACGGTAAGTTTCCTTCAGAAAATTCACTGTTTCGGGTATCGAACAATGCATCTGAGATGATACTGCAAAACACCTTTGCTGTAATCATTGCGCTAGGAATACAGCTTTCTTGATTTGAAGACGAATTGGTACTTTGCCGAACGACCAGAAAAGTCAGCTATCTTAAGCTGGAGTGATCTCTTGACTAAGTAAAAATTGGCCCTTATTATTAATATTTGGACTAACAAATAGTCTTTTCTTTTCTCAATGTCCAACTGTGACAGGTCAAATTAGATTTTATTATTCCTCTTTTGACAAGAACTTGTTTTTATCC